ACATGGTATCATATGTCAGGTTGGGATATTCAGATTGTATAGTGTGCACTCATGCTATTATGACAACACAATCCTAAGCAAACAGAAGCAAAAAGAATAACTAACGCCACAGGAAAGTTTGGAGCTATTTAACAGATGGCACTAAATGAACACACTGGCCATACATACTGTGATGTGTTCACACAGACACTCTGGTCATCATTACAATAACAATTACTGTAACCCAACTCAAAGTAGATTATTATCATTTCCATTTTATAGATGAAGAAATGTTCACATACTTTACTCCAGACTGTGAAGCAGAGCTGAGTCCAAACCCTACTTTTGGTATAAACTACCCACCTAAACTTGGGCAAGTCACATAGGAATCTGATTTCCTCCTCTGCAAAGTGAACAGTGTGATCAGAGATTAAGTGACTTCCAAGTCTCTTCTAAGCTTTCTTAAACAACAATATTGCTTGAATCTAAATTACCACACAGACAGAATACCTCTGCTCTATCCCTGTCATGGGCACAGGCTCTCCTGTCTCATAACACGGAACAGCACGTGTGCGTAGTTCCCTCACTGGAAGGTCCCACTGTTCTTGAGCTCTGCTGACAAGACACATCATCAAGATGCACCAACCTTTACTGCAAACCTCAGTAAAGACAGGACTGGTTGTACTTGCCCATAACCCCAGGCAGAAGTAGGACAACCTTAAACCTCAGACGGCACTGTTTAGATGCACACACATGAAAGTCTGCCCATGAAGAGCTAAGACAGTCTGTTTTTTAGACATATTTGGCAGGTGGCTAGGAAAGTAGCTCACTGGTTAAGAGTACTAGCTGCTCTTCCAAAGAACTTGAGTTCAATTCCCAGCATCCACATGATGGTTCACAACCATCTGTTACTCCTACTCCAGTTCTGCAGGATCCAATGTCCTCTACTAGCTTCCAAGGGCATGGAGGTGGTGCACAGACACACAAGCTAAACACATACACATAAAATGAGAATTAACAAACAAAACAAAAAGCTTACTTGGCATAGTTGTTAAAACAAACCAAGTCTGGCAAATTTATAAGCCAAAGCACAACCAAGTTACTTTTCTGGTTCTAGTTTATCTCTGTTTCAGACAAGATCATTCTCTATAGCCCAGGATGGCCTCAAACTCATGTTAAGCCTCCTGCCTCAGTCTCCTGGGTCCTAAAATTACAGGAATGAGCTATGACTCAATGAATCTATTTTTTTTTTTTTTTAAACAGGGTTTTGCCAGGCTGTGTTGGGGAATGACTTTAATCCCAGCACTTGGGAGGCAGAGGCAGGTGGACCTCTCAGTTAGAGGTCGGCCTGGTCTACAAAGCTAGTTCCAGGACAGCCACAGCTACACAGAGAAACCCTGTCTTGAAAAAATAAAGGAAAAAAAGAAAATTTTTGCCAGGCATAGTGGCACATGCCTTTAATCCCAGCACTTGGAAGACAAGAGGCAGAGGCAGGTACATCTCTGTGATTTCAAAGCCAGCCTAGTCTATGCTAGGTTCAATGACAGCCAGGAATATCTATGTAGAGAGACCATGTCTCAAAACAAAGCAAACAACAATTAAAAAAACAAATAAACAGATTTTTACAATATTTTCCTGCCTCAACCTCTATTGACTGAATATAGATGTGTACCACTCAGTCCAACTACTCTCAATACAATGTTACTTCAAAACGGAAGGTCCAGCTGGAGAGGTGGGGCAGGTAAGAATATTTAACTACTCTTCTAGAACCCAGGTTCAATTCCCAGCACCCATATCTGAAAGTTACTGAACATAATTCTAGCTTTAAGGAATCAGATGCCTTCTTCTGGTCTAGGTGAGTGTATGTGGCATACACTCACACAGACACACACACATAAATAAAAAATTTTTAAATCTTTTTAAAAAGACCCTAAAGGACCATTTTAAATAAGAAGTAGAAACGAAACACAAAGTATATATAACTTTTCTTGAGGGCAAAAAAAAGTGTTTAATTTTAACCAAATGACTTGAGATTTTTGCTCACTCAATAGTACTACCATCTATCTATTAAAAAAAAATTACAAAGCTCTTCACACTACTACCACTCAATATCAGGAATGGGGGGTTAGTTTATAAACATATGCAGAGGCCAGGGGTCAATGTCTGCTGTCTTCCTCTATGGATCTCCCTCTGACTGAGCCTGTAGCCCACTGGCCAGTAAGCCTTAATGTACCAAGTAACTAGGATTGTAAGCGTGGGCCACAACATACATTTTTCATGCAGATGCTTCAGACCAAAATTCAAGTTCACACACTTTCATGGCAAGCCCTTTACCACTGGAGCCAGGTCTCAGGCCCTTCCATGAAAATTTTGGATGATATTTCTTTCTATCCCTCCCCCACCCTGCCCTGGCCTTTTCTTTCTTTATTTTTTTCTTTTGTGTTTTGTTTTTTCAGACAGGGTTTCTCTGTGTAGCTCTGGCTGTCCTGGACTCACCCTATTGATGATACTAGCCTCAAACTCAGAGGTCCACCTGCCTCTGCCTTCCAAGTGCTGGGATTAAAGATGTGCAACAGATAGGCCCAGTGTCCTATTAAAGACCTACTAGATAAAAATTGATCATATTCAATAGCCAGATGTGACATCACATAACTGTAATCCCATGTGCTTGGGAAGCAGAGGTGAGGACTATTTGAGCCAGGAGTTCAACAATTGCCTGGGCAATGAAGAAAGACCTCATATCTCAAACAAAAAGAAAAGAAAAAATATATATATATACAGTTAAATAAATTCTTGAGAATTCAATACAAGAATTTAGATAGAAGGCAAGATGGTTCTGGGGGTAAAAGCTCGTGCCTTCAAAACCTGTCAGAGTCTCAGGACCCACACAAAGGTAAAGGAGAGGATGGACTACACAATGTTTTCCTCTGGCCTCCAAACACATACAAGGCATGCAAGCTTGCCTGCACGTGAAAACACACATACAAATTCTTTTAAACATTAAAAAGAAATCTGGATTCTCTTCTCTGAGCAGGTCTGGATAGAAAGCCTCAGAATTAACAGAGAAACTCAAGGAGAGATGGCCCCTCCTTCCAAGTACCAACTGCTGCAGTACCTGTCCTGCTCACTGCTCTCCACCTATAGAAATAACCCATTTATGAAAATACACTTCAAAATGGAAAGAAACAAGATATGAGAGTGGTGGCAGGAGCCTGTAACCCTAGCACCTGGGAGGCAGAGGCAAAAGGATCATGAGTTCAAGGTCATCTTCAGCAAACAGCATATTCGGTGGCAAGCACAAGCTACAAGAGACCCTGTCTCAAAAACTAAAATTGTGCCTTAATATTAAAACAGTCCAGTCCTGGAGGGCCCTTTAGAAAGCATGTGAGAGCCTTGCTCACTGAAGCCTTTCCTTAGGACTAAGAGTGTGCTCAGCATGAGCAGGAACTGGGCACCAGCCTGAGCACCACCCAGAAAAAGGCCCAAAACCCAAACAACAAAAACTCTCCTAAACACGATTTACAGGTTTCATGAACCTCCTGGAACTGTCAAGAACAAAATCTTGCTATAGCCTCAAGACATGCTTTCAATAATCCCATTTCCTTCGACATGATAGGACCCACCCCCCAAACATCTGAAAGGTAAAGGCCAGCAAATTAAAGGCTCCACCTGTACCAGATTCTACCTCTGTCAAGCTGCCAGTCTATCTATCAGAAGGGGTCAAAGGATGCCTTTTCTTTCCTTTTTGATACAAGGTCCTGTAAGTAACCCAGGCTGAGCTGGAACTCACAATACTAAAGGCCAGCCTTGGTGCTCAACTACAAGCTTTCACCACCACGCCCAGCTTTTCTCTCAAAAGGGAGCAGAGAAGCATACGGACAAATCAGTTCACAGGTGCAGGGTAAGTGCCTGTCAGAAGGCAAAGGCTCCCAATGAACGCATACTCAGCACCCTTTCTGATCCCAGATGCCCAGGACTCTACCCCACTGCTGTGGCTACAGACTATTGAGAAAGCAGCTGAAACACGGGCACTTTCTCCATTCAGTCTCTCGTCGGGAGCACTTCCTGGATTTTTCATTGGCATTTAATACCAAGACACAAGACTCATTTTTCATTAAAGTTGCAAGACTTTCACTTTGCCCAGTTTCATATGGTGTAATTGATCCGCATTGTCTTCTTAAATAACCCAACTGGTGAAAGACACTGCAGCTTTAAATATTTCAGTGCTAGCTAGCAAATAGACTCCATTGCAATATGGCTCTGAAGGTCGTGTCCTATTGTCTCTCTCCTCTAGGAAAAATCTAAATCCTTCTTTTAAGTAACATGGCAATAGTTCCCCCTAGAATTTCCAGCCGTTCCACTTTAGCCCCTTATAGTCCAGAGTGTTTATTGGAATCTCACACTCATAATTTTCCTGGCAGGGGCAATATGCTGATTATTAGTGATCACAGGACCTTAGTGAGACATAAACACATGCGTTCACATTAGTTTGGTTGGGCATATGCAACTATTTGAAATAGCAGCACTCAAAGGCTGTTAACAGCTTTAAGAGTAAAGCCAGGGTGGTTTGGGCGTGGATGGCTTTCGGGGCGGCACCTTGAGCCTAGGATTGCGTAACCTGAAAGCGTGTAGCTACTTAAAATGATAGGAATCTCAGCCTTCTTCTCCAGGGACTACTGCCGCACCTGGCTATACACTTGCGGCTTCATTTGTCAAAGGCCAAAATAAAAAGCACAAGCACAGTGAAGGAGAAAATGTACAGGAAGAAAGAAAGGCCCATTTCTACCTGAAAGCAGTCACAACGTTCCCCCAACTTCACCCCCATCCCCACCCATACTGAATGGAATAGTCCCAGTGAACCAGAGGATTTGAGGGGTGCTGTAATTTGCTGTCCCTTCTAAATAACAGTGGGTGGACCGATTTAAAAAAAAAAAAAAAAAAAAAAACAGAAACAAAACAAAACCGGGAAGAGGGGAGAAAGAGGCAGGAGGAAGGAGTGTGCAAGAGCACAGAGACATTACCTGAAAAGGCAACAGATTGTTACCATTATCGGTCCGGAAGGCGTTATCCTCCATCCAGGACTTGGAGGTGAGCGGGGCCGCACGAGGGAACTTGGGTGGCGCGATCACATTGCTGGAGAAGGGCTTTTTGAGCGGCGAGATGGGGTTAAGCGGGGAGGGTACCCCCACACCCACTCCCACGCCCACGCCGACGGCACGGCGAGGGTCCCGGCCCGCCTGTAGGCCACCCCATGGGTTGGACGGGGCACTCCAGGCGGCGTTCACGCTTTGGTGCGTGTTCCAACTGGACGAGGCGGAGGAGGCGGCAGCCGCGGCCGCAGCGGCCGCAGCGGCCGAGGACGAGGACGGCTTGCTGGTCATGATGGGCTGGTGGCCGTAGGCGGCGGCGCTCCTCTGCGCGTAGGGCGCCTGGCTGGGGCTGGCGGGCGAGCGGCGCTGCTGCGAGGGCTGCGCCTGCGGGGGCTGCGCGGGCGGCGGCGGCTGCGGCGCGGGCGGCGGCGGCTGCTGGTGGTGCTGGGTCTGCGCCAGGCCGATCTGCGGCGAGAAGGTGCCTCCGAAGACCGGGTTGACGTGGTGCGGGAAGTTTTGGAAGAGCATGGTCCCGTTGACTGGGGTGATCCCCTGGAAGAAGCTGTCCTCCACCGCGTTCGTCGCGCCCGTGGACCAGGTGCTGCCGAAGGACGGCGACAGCGACGCTCCGGGCGCCGCGGGCTCCTGCGGCGGCGGCGGCGGCTGCTGAGGGGGCTGATGGAAACTCAAGCCCGGCAGGAGCGGCGACTCCATCTGCATCTTGTCGGGACCGTTGGGGGCTGGCGGGGCCGAGGCGGGGCTGAGGGCCGGCACTGCGCTACTGTCTTCGGGCTTGGGGGTCTCTGAGGAGAGGGGCGTGGACGGGGCTTCGGCTGCGCCGGGCTCGGGCTGGAGCTGTTGCTGCTGCTGCTGCTGCCGCTGCTGCTGCTGCTGCTGCTGCTGAGACTGGGGCTGGGTTTTGCTTTTGTCCATCAGTAAATCATCCTGCATGGTTTGCGCAGCTGAAACGGGAAGAAAAAGAGAGGCGTTATTGTCAGTGTGATCATGAATGCCCCTCACTGAAGCGGGCGGGTGTTTTACTTGCGAAAATCCAGTGCCACCGCCACTAGCCAATTGCAATGCAAATCCATAATCTCGCCTTTAGAAGAGCAGGTCGGGCTGGGGGGTGGGGAGGAGGCTCGAGCGAGATCTCTAAAAATACTGTGAGAGCGTCTTCACCCTTTCTGACGTCTCGGTCCCTTTTCTGTGTTAGTGAGAGATGTGCTTATAAGACAGAGACAGCAATTTCGCCACGTCTCTTTCCCCTTCACCGGAACTCAGAGCGTTCACCCTGCAATGAGAAACTGATTCTGGTTCCTGTTTTTTCCCAAGCACCACCCTCCCCCATTTATTTGCATACGTCAATAAATAGTGCTGCGTCCTTCAGCAAGGTTAAAGACTCGGTACACGACCCTCTCCGTCCCCTTCCCCAGCTGGAGCACTTTAAAAAAAATTTTTTTTTAAAGCCGACTTAGCCCTCTTGATTAGCAAGCTGCCCTCTTGCCTCGGATGGCCGTTTCATTTGGCTGCAGCGCTCCACGAGAGAGAAAATCTTTGGCATTTGTTGGAAGAACTCGGCTGCACAATCATTCCCTGGCCTCTTGGTAGCGGCAGCTACTCCATTTTGTTAGGAGACGTTTTAATAGAAAAGAAAACCCAGTTTTTAAAAAGATGAAAATCGACAGGCATGGTGGCGCATGCTTAAAATCCTAGTACTCTGGAGATAGAGGCAGGAGGATCAAAAATTCAAGGTCAGCCTTGACTACTTAACCAGTTCGAGTCCCGCCTGGTATATGAGAAACCAAAAAAAAAAAAAAAAAAAAAAAAAAGTGAAAACCTACTGAAACGTTTAGAAGTGTTTGCTTCTTATTACTCTAAGGAGTATGGGCTTTCTGCTTATTCTCCAATTTTCTCGTCTCCAAGTCTGCCGCCCAAGAGATTTCCTGGCTTCTTGGCGTTTCAGGTCTCAACGGGAGCCTGAGAAATTGTCTGCAGAGTGGAGAAATGCTTCTGGTTGGATTTGAGGTCAGAGGGAGGGAGGTGGGAAGGGAGGAAGGGAGGGAGTCTGTGAGATGGAGTGGGGGCGGGACTTTAAAAATGCATCTGAAATTTAAGTAGACAGTCAAGATAATTCTGGGGTTGCCAGATTTTCATTTTTGAATCCTCCTGCTGCTGCCTCGGTCACAAGACTGGCAAATTTAGAATGCATTCTTTTATCACTAGTATTAGCAGTGCAAGACTACGGTTTGACGACCCTGAATTACCATATGCTAGCAACTGTTAAAAATAGAGGAGTACAAAGTCCCCAATTCTCATGCATTGTAATTATAGTACAGTACCCTCACTGCTTCATTTATCCATATAAGGAGTGTATGGTATTTTCCACTTCACATAGAAGGGCTATATTCACCTCTGTCATACAACCTGTTTTCTTACTCAAGGATGAAAACAGTAATCACTCAAAACCAAGAGATTTCCATGTGTGTACTTATCACTGAATTAACTTGTCTCAGAACATGTTAATTGCTTTAAATATCAGAATATTACAGGGCTGAGACCTTGCAAACAAATATTTTGAAATGTCAAAGAAGCTATGATCAAACATAATTATTTTTAGACGATGATTCAGTACAATTGCAATAAAGTTATTAATATATTTAATATAGTTAATTAATTCATATACTGGAGAAACATCTTTCTTGGGACATTTGTAGAAGGGCATTCAGGTACACACAACAGTTCTGCCTGTGGACTATTCAAAATAACAACTCTTAAAATGGAGGTGGTGTCACTCTAAACTTGCACAAAGGATATAAGACAAGAACTTGAATTAACAGTTGTTTTACTAAAACTATCATTAAAATGCCATTTTAATACCATTTTTCATTTCATATACTAAGAACATGTGGGCTTAGGAAAACACTACACTTCTCCCAATCACCTTATTTTCCTTTCTATTCCTTTCTTCCCTGCCTCTTCCCCTCCCCTAAAATAACCCAGCCCAGTATAATAAAACATGCACCAGGGATTGCCGGCTACTATTAGTAAAGCTAGCTTTAGATTGCTCTATTGTTCCTCAGTTCCCTGTAAAACAATGATTAGTGTTATAGGTTCAGCACAGAGAGGAGAGTGGACCTTGGATTCAGACAGCACAAAGTTCCATCACTGCCAAAGAGGGTGGTCACAGACATTTTCATACTTCCTTCTCACTGTGCTGCAGTAGACCATTAGACTTCTGGAATTTGAGCACTTCGGAGAACTAAAATTTTCTTTACAATAGCTTTATCATCATGGCTGAAATATGAACTGGATTATAATCTTAGTATCACCCAGCTTTTCTTATTGCTTATATTTAACACTTTTGTTAATGCCTTTAGTTAAACTGCATGCTCTTGATGGGAAAAATGCTGGACTTTACCCACACCACCACCACCCCAAGCCAAAAAGTAACCTAGACTCAGAATATTTTATAATGGCTGTAGTTACTATTAATACTGTCATTCAATTCTCACAATGCTATAACAAAACACTCCCTTCTTTTCATAATGATCTTTAAAAATAATACAAATTTCACTTTCTGTATAAATTCACTTGGTCAAGGTCAAGACCCACCTTTTAATAAATAAGATCTTTTAAACAAAAGATAAGTCCGTGACTAATATAAAATTTACAAAGTCAATATGCAGTATCCTTAAATAACCTCTTCTATAATTTGATTTGGAGGGTTTTTTTGCTTATATATAGCCAAGTCTGAGAAATAGATGCCTGTTTCCCCTCCCCCACCAGACACAATAGATCGGCTTTTACATGCAATAACCCAATTTCAAGTAATAAAGTCATAGTAGCAGTTACCTTTAAGTGTCCAGTTTTTAAGGATCGATAAAATTGAAAAACTGAATAGTATTTATTTCTTCTTTCGGGTTGATTATGTGACCGCTCTGGAAAAGCACTTTGACAACTGTAAGAAGAGTGGGCATGCGCACACAGAGGACTGTGGGGGCTGAAGTCCTTCACAAGGTACTCAGCCCGGCTTCAGCACTTTCAGCCAGGGAAGGAGGAAGCCTCGTAAATACAGATTCCAAGGGGGAGAGGTTGTGCCCGGATTATATTATAGCCTCCAAACCAATCTAAATCAGGAGTCGTTGAAATAAAAGAAGGAAAAATAAACTGGATTGTCAACTTGATTTAGGAAGCAAGGCTAAACGAGAAAGTAGATTGTAGGACTCAGAATAAATAGACCCAGCAGAGCTACCTTAAATGGTATTATGATGGTAATGGCTGGGTAGCCAGCAATAGGAACCCCACTAGAGAGAAAGAGATTAGGGTTGGAAGAAAAAGAATAGATGCAGAACTACTGGGAAATTATAAACATTAAGGCTCTCACCCACAGTTTGCTTTGTTCTGTTTGTGACACGGGAGACAAGGCTAACCTGGATCCTCGGCCTCACCCTCCCAAGAGCTGGGATTATAGGTATGAACTACCACACCTGCCTAAAGAGAATGTTTTTAATGCTAAACTTACCTTAATACTAAATGTGCTACTGACCGACCCTGAAGTGTAAAAATAGATTTTAATCACAAATGTTTGCCATCTTATCTATCAGAACTGACTGACTGAGATGGGATCTCCCTACCCCCTGGGCTGGTGTGGAACTGGCTATGTAGATCAAGCAGGCTTCAAAATTGCACCAATCCTCCTGCCTTTGCTTCCCCACTGCTGGAATTAGAGGCTTGTGCCACAACACCCAATTCAGGATTTCTTTGTATTTGAATTTTTACTGGATGAGCAAAGCCCATATTCATAATCCCAGCACTGGTAAGACTGAGGTAATAGAACGTCCATGAGTTCTCAGACAGTCAGGACAATACACAAACCATAAAAGGGCTGGAGAGACAGCTTACTTGATAAAATCCTTGCCCCAAAACAACAACAACAACAACAAACCCAAAGCTGGAGAGGCGGGAACAAGTGGGTCTCTAGGGCTCTGTATAAGTCCAGTCCAAGTTGAGAGATACTAAGAGAGAGAGAGATCTATGGCCATATCACTTGACCTCAACCTATCTCTTTCGATCTAACTAGGGCCTACGTAGTATTTGGATGGGATGCTGCCTGAGTTAACCAGTTCTGCAAGCTTTTAGCCTCCCCATCCTTCCATTTGGCTACAACCTAGGGCCACTCCACCATGCCCCCACCCCTCTCCACCCCAGAAAATAAAATGGCAGACTGCTCCTGAGGAAAGACACCTGAGGCTGACCTCTGACGTCCACTAGCACTTACACACACAGGCACAATTCCCATATACATAAACACACATACATATTCCATGCAAAAAAATTCTATCTCTATGCTCAGTCAACTCACCTTATTTTACCTTATAAGATGAAAGTCTACCTTGCATTATTGATATAGTAATGAAATAAAATTTAACTCTTTCACTGCAAAATAATATTTGAAACGATACTGATTAGTATATTACTTAAAACCTTAAGAGTGTAACTTCATTGGACAATGACTTCTTTGTACAAGATTCAAAAAATATATATGCAGTTTCTAGTTAGGGGGAATTGTATTGGGGAGATATTTGGTTGGTTTTGAAACAGGAGATCATTTAGCCCAGTCTGGCCTTGAACTTGCTATGCAGCTGAAGATGCTCTTGAACTTCTGATCCATCTGTCTCTACCTTGCAAAGTAGTGGGATTATAGGTGCTACCACACATAGCCTTTAATTTCTTTTTATTATTAAAATTGGCATATGATTCTCCCTATTTTAACCTAATGATTTCAAGGCCAACTCTTGCAACATATTAACATCAACTGTCATTATGTATAGCTTCTGAAAGCAATAGATCAAAAGCTAAGTTTGCTCACGTAGGCAGAAGATAATATTTCTGTGGGTTCTGTGCCATTCACCCATGGGGTTTAGAGTAAATGTCAGCTAATGACTGTGCTGATTGACCTTAG